TGATAATGCCCTTTGTTTGTATAGCAGGTGATGTACCTCAAACTCAAAGGAATCTTGTATGGGAAATAAATCACTAACCCAAATGCAGAAGAACCTCTCTATATAGCTTAAAAAAAATCTTAAGAAACCAAGATAAGATGTAAAAAAAAAGCTTGAACTTTTGGTAACCAAAAATACCAAAATATAAAACCATAAATGAAAATGGGCCACACAACAGAAATTATTTATATCAATAAAATTTAATATGGATAGAAATCTGACTGGACTGGTTTCCAGCTGGATTTTTTTTTCTTTTAATTTTCCTTTCAATGCCAACGCTAGACTAAACTATCCGCACTCCCTTCCTCTACTTGGAGGGGAGAGCCTGGACATATTTTGTTGTTAAATGGCTGGGATAAAAAAATTAGTGTCACGAGCGGGATTCGAACCCACACCTTTGGCTCAATAGGCCGCTGCTATAACCACATGAGCTAGCGTGAACTCATTGAGCCAAAGGTCGTGGGTTCGAATCCCGCTCGTGACATTAATTTTTGCATCTCAACAAAAAACCTAAGATAAAAATAATTAATGAAGGTTTTCAGTTGAGATAAAAAAAGTCAATGGCACGAGCGGGAATCGAGTGTGTTTGAGATTGGAAGTTGGTGTCCGAGTGGATCGAGGTCATGATAGCTCAAGTGGTAGAGCAGCGGCGTATCAAGCCGAAGATCGTGGGTTCGAATCCCGCTCGTGCCATTGACTTTTTTTATCTCAACTGAAAAACCTGCATTAATTGTAAGATATTAATTGGTCAAGCGGACCACGAAACTAGTGAATTGAATAAAAATAATAATTAATTGGACTAACTTTTTAAAGTAAACCTCTTTGTACTTCCCGTTAGAAATCATATAAATCAACTGACTTATCATTTTGGTTGGAAGTATTACAAAATACATTGTTTACTACAAATAAATGTAACATTACACAAGCATATTTTTAAGAAGGGATCCAATAAAATTTCAAAAATATTAATGTTCCTATAATTGCAAAGTTTCGACATCCACATGAATGTGATTTTGTTTTTTATTCTTCTTAGGTTTTTGTGGTCTAACACGCCATTGATAGGGCAACAAATTTCAGTTCGTGCACCCAAAATCTCAAAACTGGGTAGTCACGATAACATGTTGATATCCTGTGTTCCATTTTTGGTAACAAAACAGGCCCCTTTTCTTTTTGTTTGTTCTTGCGATAATAAACCTATTCTTGTGATAATAAAACCAAGACTATAAAGTGAGAAGAATTCAGGAAGAAATAAGATAGATGACATGGTATAAAGCTGATAAAAAGTTGATTGAGATATCTTGCATATATGCGGAAAAAACTGAGTTTAAAAAAAAAATACCGAACAGAAATAAAAGTGGGTTACAATTTTTAAAATATTTTACATTTTGCTCGATAAAAGTGGGGGGGTATGTTAGCACAAAAGGCATACTTTAAGAACGATTTTTTTCCGGGAAAAATGAAGCTATTGCATTTTATATTCATTAACGCATTCCTCTTACGTATTTTTCGAATTCCTAGAGTCGTATTTAATTTTTTAACGGTAAGATTTTGAAATGATGGGAAAAATATTTTATTAAACATTTTACTTCGTGTAATGAGGCTTTGAAGATACGAAGTTTACTTTGACTCTCAAATGATCTGGCCTGGAATTTTTTTTTAAGTACTAGCATTTCAATTAGCCAAGCAGAAAAATTCAAATGGTTGAAAGAATTTAATCGCCTCGGGAATCTCTCGTTTATTTTCACCCCGGACGTAGATTACTAAAAATAACACTAAATAGTACGCTCTACCCTTGATTTAACAACGTTTATATGATATCTTGTTTCGTGACCAGGTGCTTTATTTACGACTCGTTTAGTTACTATCAATTAACTTTATTTACTGTTTATGGCTGTCGCCACGCACTTTATGTTTTACTTCGCCTTGGTGATAAAGCTTGTTAGCGAGCCTGCCGGCAGTGTTCCATAGTAATACGCCGTCAAATTACTTGGCAATTTGTATTAGAGCCTCAGACCCCAAACTTCTTCCATTAAACAGCCCTTTCATTCTGTCAGCGACTGGTTAATTGCGTCCTATTATTTTTGATCGCGTTATCTTTTATCAATTTGTATACTTGCTAATCTTCTAATTCATATATACAAAAATTAACATTATAAGTGCGGAAAAAACCTAGAATTGTACCTATTCTGAAGGAGTTCAGGGTAGTGGCTCATGGATTGTCAAGATTAAGGCTAAATATGTCTAAAATAATACCATCCAAATTTCAAAAATAGCAGCTCTAATCGAAAAATTTATTTTCAAATTATTCATTTATTTTCAAATTATTTGAAATTATTCCGTTTTTAGTAATAATTCCGAATTTTAGGGGTTGTATAAAGCCAAAAAGTCGATTAGAACATAAAACCATGCTGAAATTCTAGAAAATATACTATATAGGGAAAAGTTGACGTTGTGTTATACAAAAGCCTATTTGAACTCCCAGAAAATAAGAGAAACTTTTGACAAAAGCAAATTAGAGAATACATCATGAAATAAATGGATGAAACATTAGCATGTAACTATTTATGTTTAGTGGTATAATTGACCAAATTATTTATTTCAATTAATCATTCTTTTAATGGGAAGTCTTGGTTGAGATGAAAAAGTTAGTTCCAAGAATGGGATTCGAACCCATGACCTTCGGCTAAATACGCCGTTGCTCTAGCCACCTTTCGAATTTTCCCTTCTTTTTGCCATTTTTCAAATGTCGTGTAATCAGGATTCCATTTTCGGGGACATATGAAGTGGCCTAGGGGAGCTATTATTGAAGTTATACTTCTTTTACTTGTTAAATCCATTATGGTTTAGTGGTCCAATTGACCGAATTACTTCTTTCAATTAATAAACATTTTATGTAAGGTTTTGGTTGAAATGAAAAAGCTATAATGAAAAAGAAAGTTTGTTTCTTTTTTTGCTATTATCATTTTATTTTTGTGTTCCGGTGTATAAAGTTATTAATAATGGGTCAGTTTTCTTATCAAAATTGTAAAATTGTTCATTTCAAACTTTGTTTAATATTTTATTTTAATTAAGGAAATTAATTAAGGTTTTTAGTTGAGATAAAAAAATCATTGTCACAAGCGGGATTCGAACCCACGACCTTCGGCTCAATACGCCGATACTCTAACCACTTGAGCTATCGTGACTTCGATCCACTCGGACACCAACTCCCCACCTCAACCCCACCTTTTGAATTTTCCCTCCTTTTTACCATTTTTCAAATGTCGTGTAACAGGATTCGATTTTTGGAGACAAATGAAAACGGAGAGCTCTTAGTGAAGATATACTTCGTTTTCCTTATTAAATCCATTATATTTCAAAGTCCGATTGACCATATAATTATTTCAGTTAACTAATCTTTACGTAAGGTACTGGTTTAAATTAAAAAATTAAGTTTTACGTTCAGTCGATGGAATTTTTGAACGAGGGCACAAGAAAACCTCCGGAATAAGTGTGCATGTCATATCAAATTTTTCAAATTAAACTTTCTTATTCGTTGACGAATTTAAATCCTGATTACGCCAACGTTTTCAATGTAAAAATGATTTAAAAATTTGGTAAAAATGTAAAGTTCTCATTTAAAATCTTAAACCTGTCTTTTCTCTAAAATACACTGATAATTTTTTTATTAATAGGAGTAAAAATGTAAAATTGGATTGAAAATATTAAATAGGTATTTTTTGCTTTTTTTTGTTAATGTTATCTATTCAATAGAAATTCAGCCGTGCCATATAAAACAGACACTACGTTACTGTATATTACGCTTTTCTGTTTCCTCTGACTTGTTTTTAGTTATTATGGTGTAGGTTACAAAAGTTTTAAGTTTTTCTCTTGTACAATACTTGTGTCATATTTGTGTCATAATAGAGAATTCTATCTAGGTAGAATTTTCTACCTATTCTTCTAACTTATAAAATACATGCTAATTTCAATAAAATTATTCTTTCTATGTAAAGACTTGGTTGGCATGAAAAAGTAAGCGTCATGAGCGGGATTCGAACCTACGACCTTCGGCTCAATACGCCGCTGCTCTAACCACTTCAGCTATCGCGATTTCGATCCACTCGGACACCAACTCCCCCATCTCAACCTACAACTGTAGCGTATTGAGCCGAATGTCGTAGGTTCGAATCCGCTCATGACGCTTACTTTTTCATGCCAACCAAGTCCTTACATAATAAGAATAATTAATTTAAATTAGCATGTATTTTGTAAGTTAGAAGAATAGGTGGAAGATAGAATTAAATTTTGCTTCCTCTTGGTGTTAATGCGGGCTTGCCTCGTTTGGTTTTAAATTTAATTCACTACTTTCGTGGTCCGCTTGACCAATTAATACATGACAATTAATTAAGGTTTTTAGCTGAGATGAAAAAAAAGTTAATGGCACGAGAGGGATTCGAACCCAGTACCTTCGGCTAGATACGCCGCTGCTCTACCACTTGAGCTAGCGTGACCTCGATCCACCCGGACACTAACTTCCCATCTCAACCACACCATTTGAAATTTCCTCCTTTTTGCGATTAACTTCCCTATTAAATCCCTCTCGTGCCATTAACTTTTTTTCATCTCAACTAAAAACCTTAATTAATTGTCATTTAAATTTAACGTAAATTTCTCTGTAAACAAACTTTATTGATTTAGGAACTTTGGATTTAGGATCACCTTTTTACACGTGTGTATATGTGATATAAATCATTAATCTGTATATTATTACTTTCTTTACTCCCTTAGTAAGAAATCGTTAATAATTAATTTATTTATAATACTACGGTACTATAGGATACTTACTGTAAGTTATAAAAAGTTTAATTTTCCCAATGTGTAACTAATTAATTACGAAAAGATTTCATTTCATTGTTTGTTTTTACCCACACAGTTTAATGGACTTATGTATAAATCATAAAATAATTGTAGATGGTTACCATTGAGTATATGTACTCTGATGGTGGCCGTATTAGCGTTGGACGGGCTGCAGGTGTAAAAACCCGAATCGGGGGAGACAGCTTTCTGCAGAAGTAGCCTGCTTGTAGTCACGGCTCCCTTTTCTGTCACCAGACTCACGCCTCCTCTCGGAGAGTCGAAGTTGATCACCTGTTTAAAACAAAAACAAAAAGTGTGAAAAATAAAACTTTCCAATTGTGACAATAGTGGAAGGAAAAGCGATAAAGGCAGGTGCTTTTTTATCGAGCAATAAAACAATTCGTTACAAGGAGGTAGGATGCCTTTATCCACGAGCATGGGTAGCAAACAAGTAAAATTCTAAAATTGACATAATCGTTTTTTTGAGTATTTGTATGACTTATCTATTGACATTGGATATTTATTTTAAAAAAAGTAGTGTAGTTTAGGTAAATAATTTTTTTATATTAAAAAGGATCGGAGCAATCATAACTAATAAAACCTTTAATAAACAACAATCATCATAAATATTTTTACAACAGTGTTTATTTTAATATACTATGTACAAGCAAAATTATTGATCTGTAAAATAAAATAAAATAATCAATCTGGGGGTAAAGTGAGAAGAATCAGCCAGTGGTGATCCTTTGCGCTACGTCTCCAGCAGGTACGTAGAAGTAGCTGCTTCAATCACCTTGGAGAATTGTTGAGAATTTATTAACCATGGTGACGAATTCTTGTATGTGTGTTCATATTTGGGGGGGGGGGTTGTATCGTGAAAAAAGGGCCAGAGGCAACGGTGGGAATCGAACCCACGACCGCGGCGTCTATGAGCCGAGAGTCTCTCATGATAACCGCTTGGCTACCGCGGTCCCCCCAAAAAATTATTGAGAATGATACGAGAATATTTCTAAAACTGATTGGGAGGTGTAACGAAAGGTTTTGTGGATTTTTTTTGTCTTGTCAACATCAACCATCTTGTCAAATTGGTTTCTCGAATTAATAAATTTAAAAAATAGAAAAAAAAATCGGACATGCTCTCAGTACCTATTAACATTTTTCCTGCATTCCTTACCCAATCGCACTAGTCTCAAGCTTTTAAAACTAAAATTTTACCCTTATTCTTCAGAATTGTTGGGGCAAAACTATACTGATTCCGGGGAAGTAAGTGCTGGTTCCTCGCTGGCTTGTTTCAAGTCCAGACCATCTGTGTTTTTAAAAACGACGTGAATCATCCATTTTTTCTTCTTCCTTGTACTTTCCCGGTTTGCTTTCATCTTCTTTCTCATTCTGTTTTGCTTTCTTAATGTGGTTTCATCATTCGCTTATGAAAAATTTATATTTTAAAGGATATATCATTGCCATTATGATTTCGTATATTTATTACATGTTTTATTATTATTAATTTTTAAGGACGTTCTAACGGCTAAGGACATATTAACCCCTGACATTTAAACTTTCTGTTTTAGTTAATTAATATTTTTAGTTGAGATAAAAAAGTCAGTGTCACGAGGGGGATTCGAACCCACGATCTTCGGCTAGATACGCCGCCGTTCTACCACTTGAGCTATCATGACCTCGATCCACTCGGACACCAACTTCCCATCTCAATACACTCGAATCCCGCTCGTACCATTGACTTTTTTTATCTCAACTGAAAACCTTCATTAATATTTTTATCTTCGGTTTTTGGTTGAGATGAAAAAACTAATGTCATTGTCATTTAATGCCATTTAATTTGTCACCTAGAATCAAATAGATTACACGACATTTGAAAAATGGAAAAAAGGAGGGAAAATTCAAAATGTTGAGGTTGAGATGGGAAGTTAGTGTCCGAGTGGATCAAAGTCACGATAGCTCCAGTGGTAGAGCAGCGGCGCATCTAGCCGAAGGTCGAGGGTTCGAATCTCGTTCGTGACACTGACTTTTATCTCAACTAAAAACCTTAATTAATTGAAAGATATTAATTGGTCAAGCGGAACACGATAACCAGTGAACTTCTAGGTAGGTTAGTTTTATCGCTTTGGAGTGCTAAAAAGCTCTGTTTCCAACTCACTCATAAACTGAATTCTATCCTATTGCCATCCAAAGCTTTAATTTTTCTAATTCTTTAATTCTTAATTTAGAAAGCCAAATGTATGCAAAAACCCATTTTCAATTATAGAATTTATTCCTGTTTTTTAATTAGAATTTTGAATTTTGATGTTTTATTATTTTTTTATTTTATTTTATTTTATTTATTTATTAATTTTTTTGTTTAAACGAGGGTTCGCAGAAGCAGAGGTTATATCAACACTCGGGGTGCCGGTGTTTTGGAAAAAAAGCCCATTTGTAAGTATGTCGAGTTCGAATGCAGGGCCGCTGGATTCGAACCCGGGACCATTACCTTACAGTGACGAGGGCCGTGTCAACGACTAACCCGTTGCGGCCACCGACGCCCTCTTTTTGAAAAAAAAAAAAAAACCAATTTGCAAGTATGTCGGGTTTGAATGCAGGGTCGCTGGATTCGAACTCGGGACCTTTAGCTTACTGTGATGAGCGCCCTGTCAACGCCTAAACGTTGCGGCCACCGACGCCCCTTTGTGGAATTTTATGTATTGAAAATTTACGATATCTTTCACAAAAAAAATTTTCAGGCTATGTATTTTATGATTCCGTAGATAGTAGGGAGTGTTTACATTTCTTCTTTAAAGTTTTAAGCAAACATTTTTATGTTATATGGTATAGTGTGAAAAATAATACAGTAACTTCTTGTACGGTCTGAATGAACAAAAATAATTCAATTTTTATCTGCCAAACTTTTGGCCTACTTTCAGATCATCATCAGCGCAAAATAATCTTAAAGATTTCTACAAATTTAGCATAATTTTTTATTAAATAGTTTCAAATTCCTTTGAAGAACAACTCAGCCACAACTCGATCGAATCATCTAACATTTCGCTCAAAAATAATAAACATTCCCTACTATGCATCAAATTTAACCATCCTTGGCCGTGTTGGGACTGAATTAGTCTTCAAAAAAATTAGAAATCATCTACTAAAAACTTAATTAAGTCAATGTTAAGAAATATTTAAGATTGTTTTGCTCTGATGATGACGTAAAACTAGATCGAAAGTTTGGCATATAACAATTGATTTGTTTTTCATCCAGAATGGAGACACAGATTTTTTGTGTTTACAATTTTCCGGAGTGTTTTGATATTTGGATGTAGGAACTGAACCTCTAAAACATTGAAAAGCTTTTGAGAAAAGGAAATGTGATTGAAATAGTTTGTTTTATAATGTATTTTATAGTCCACGACTCTGAGAGGCAAAAAACGTTGCCATCTTTATTATTTTTAATTACCTTTTAGGTAATCCGTCATTAATTATTTTACAAAAATATTTGGTCCGTTTAAAGGATAAGATGTAAGTAAAACACAGATCAAATCTCCCAATAGTGTTTGCAATTAGATTTTGTAAACGAATCTTTGAATAGTCAATCCCATCTTTATTGATTTTTCGGTAAAGCTTATTTCTTAAGTTCCAGTGGTTTTATGTTTTAAAAATGTACCATTTTTAACTTTCATATTTGTTTGAATGATAGTTTTAAGTGATACAGATTTGGCTAGAATCATAGCGATTGGTGGAAGTTGGAAGAGGTCAATCGTATGTGGCCGGGGTGCTTAATTGACCAAGATACTGGCGATTAATCAAGAACATGGCACAGAACAGCTCGGTTAAGTTTCACAAAAAATCTGATCGATTGGTCTGAGCAAGATTGTACAAATATGTTGTTTTCGGATTAGTCAAGGTTTTTAAATTTCAAATTTGTTTGAGTCATAGTTTTAAGTGATACAGATTTGGCTAGAATCATCGCGTTTGTTGGAAGTGGGAAGAAGGCAAGCTTATGTGGCCGAAGTGCTTAATATACCAAGATACTGGAGGTTACTCAAGGAGGCATGGATGTCGGATGGATGGTTTTATGGTTTCGAATGTACATCATAATCGGCTTTCTACCTCTGTTGAGGGCAAGCAACGACTTACAAATTAGTAAAGTTAATGTCAGTTTAAGCATAAGCAATATAAGGCGAATGCTTTCAGAAACTGGATTCCGTGCCAGCAGAACTACCTCTGGCCCGAAACTTCTGAAATGGCTCGGATAACTTTCGCAAGAAATCACATTGATTGGTCTGAGCAAGATTGGACTAATATCTTATTTTCGGATGAGTCAAGATTTTTTTATGACCTTATGACGGCAGAAAGAGGAGAGCGTTTGGAAAAAATACAGCAGAGTGATATGTCCCCGCAAAATTTTCACTCCGGAGAACCAAAGGTTTGGCAAAGTGTTAAGCGAAGAGTGAGGCTTTTTGTCCGACTTGAACCATGTTGTCATTGATTCAATTTCATAAATAAAATTGTTTTTTAATCTGCCCTATTGTGTTCAAATAATGCGTAATTAATTATAGAAAAGAGAAATGTCCATTCATAACATGTTGAACATCATTAATTTTCAAATCCACGACAGTAAGAAAGAATTATCTTTGGACGGCGGATGATTGATGACTGGAGAAACACGATGTAAATTTATAAAGAAGGTTTTGTTATGACCAAAGTACAACGCAGTAAAGAAAGTTAAAAAAAAAACAGCTTTCAAATATTGGTATTTTATATGTTGAGAATTTATTATTTAAAAGTGCCCAAATAGTAGCCACAAAGGTATCATTTGAAATAATTATCTCTTTTATTTAATCAGTACGCAATTTGACAATATATGAAAAATATAAGTTTTAGAATATGGTAAATTAAATGCAGTTAATCGTAATAATTAATTTCACTAGTTTTCGTGATCCGCTGGACCAATTAATATCTTTCAATTAATTAAGGTTTTTAGTTGAGATAAAAAAGTCAGTGTCACGAGCGGGATTCGAACCCACGATCTTCGGCTAGATACCCCGCTACTCCTCCACTTTTATCTCAATTAAAACCCTTAATTAATTGAAAGTAATAATTAATTGTAAAAATCCTTCGTTTATTTTAGAATAGATTAGATAAAATAAATTTGATATGATGAAAGGGGTGTTTTTTGAGAAAAATTAATATTTTTTACGATTTTTGGCTAATTTAATACGTGTTAGGTAAAAAAAGGTTTATTTGAAATTTCAGGTTTAAACAGTTCAAAAATTGCACATTGCTTCGTTCTAATCCTGCTT